TAAGATGATTACCTATGCTTTTTGGTTAGGCAAGGCGTTCAACTGTGTGGATCAAAACAAATTATGGATAACGTTGAGAAGAATGGGAATTCCAGAACACTTATTTGTACACATGAGGAACTTGTAGATAGTCCAAGAGACTGTCCCTTCAAGCAGATGACATTTATGAAATCATCTAAGAATCTGATTCCATTTTTGAATTCAGTATACACATGCCCAGGTCATTATCATCACTCCCAAAAATGAATGAATGTTTCCTAAGTTCTCTGAATTTATAATTAATCATTCAGAAAATTGTCTCCTTTTTCCTTAAAAAGTCTCTCATGTCCTTATCTTCCTATGTGTTGCCATTGCCTCACACAATTATGTTCCATTATGAAATGGAACGCATAAAGATTGATATCCTAGGCATTAGTGAGGTGAAATGGACTGGTTTTGGCCATTTAGAATCAGACAACCATGTGACCTGCTATGCTGGAATGACAATTTGAAGAGGAATGGTGTGGCATTCATCATCACAAAGGATGCTTCAAAATCTGTCCTGAAGTACAATGCTGTCAGTGATAGGATAACATCCATATTCCTACAAGGAAGACCAGTTAATATGACTACTATTCAAATTTATTCACCAACCACCAAAGCCAGAGATGAGGAAATTGAAGATTTTTTAAATCAAGTTCTGCAGTCTGAAATTGACCAAACGTGCAATCAAGATGTGTTAATTATCACTGGTGACTGGAATGCAAAAGTTGGAAACAAAGAAGAATCACCGGTAGTTGGAAAATTTGACCTCGGTGACAGAAATAATGCTGGAGATCGTGTGATAGAATTTTGCAAGACTAATGACGTATTCATTGCAAATACCTTTTTTCAACAACACAAACAGTGTTGGCCAGATGGAATACACAGGAATCAGATTGACTACATCTGTGGCAAGAGGCGATGGAAAAGCTCAATATATTCAGCCAAAACCAGGCGAGGAGCTGATTGTGGAACAGACCATCAGCTGTTCATATGCAAGTTCAAATTGAAGTTGAAGACAAAACAAGTCCATGAGAGCCAAAATATAATCTTGAATATATCCCTCCTGAATTTACAGACCATCTGAAGAATAGATTTGATGCATTGAGCACCAATGACTGAAACCAGAGGAATTGTGGGATGACATTAAGAACATCATCCATGAAGAAAGCAAGAGGTCATTAAAAAGATGAGAAAAGAAGAAAAGACCAAAATGGGTTGACAGAAGAGACCCTGAAACTTGCCTTGAGCAGAGAGTAGCTAAAGCAAGTGGAAGAAATGACAAGATAAAAGAGCTGAACAGAAGATTTCAAAGAACAGCTTGAACAGACAAAGACGATTACTCTAATGAAATGTGCAAAGACTTGGAGTTAGAAAACCAAAAGGGAGGAACACACTCAGTATTTCTCAAAGTTAAAGAACAGAGGAAAAAATTTAAGCCTTGAGTTGCAATATTGAAAAATTCTATGGGAAAAACACTGAATGATGTAGGAAGCATCAAAAGAAGATGGAAGGAATATACAGAGTCACTGTACCAAAAAGAACTGTTTGATCTTCATCCATTTCAGGAGGTAGCATATGATCAAGAACCAAAGGTATTGAAGGAAGAAGTCAAAGCTGCACTGAAGGAATTGGTGAAGAGCAAGGCTCTAGGAATTGATGGAATACCCACTGATATGTTTCAACAAGTGGATGCCCTACTGGAGGTACTCACTAGGTTATGCTCAGAGATTTGGAAGACAGCTACCTGGCCAACTGATTGGAAGATATCCATATTTGTACCCATTCCAAAGAAAGGTGATCCCATAGAATGGAAATTATCTAACAATATCATTAATATCACATGCAGGTAAAATCTTACTGAAGATCATTAAAAAATTGTTGCAGCAGTATATTGACAGAGAACTTCCAGAGGTGCAAGCTGGATTCAGAAGAGGACGTGGAACAAGAGATAATCATTGCTGATGTCAGATGGATCTTGGCTCAAAGGAAAGA